CTGCAACGACCTAGCTGCAGTGATCCATGCGACGGCCACCTCAAGGCTAGACTACTGTAACGCTCTCTATATGGGGCTGCCTCAGTCGCAAATCCGGAAGCTGCAGCTGGTGCAGAATGCTGCGGCTAGGTTGTTGTTCGGTGCCCCTAGGTGGGAGCACACCCGACCTATGCTGAAAGCACTGCACTGGCTCCCTATAGCACACCAGATTCACTTCAAAGTGCTGGTGCTTACCTTTAAAGCCCTACATGGCCTGGGTCCGACATACCTGAGGGACCGCATTTCTCCACATATGCCCCAAAGAGAACTTCGGTCGGGGTCACAACACCGGCTGGTGACCCCAGGCCCTAAGGAGGCCAAGCTTGTTGCAACAAGGGCCACGTCCTTTTCAATGGCGGCTCCTATCTGGTGGAATAAGTGCCCGGAGGAGATCAGGGCCCTGCAGGACATTTTGCAGTTCCGCAGGGCCTGTAAGACGGAGCTCTTCCGCCAGGCATATGAGTAGGAGCCGCCACTGCCACTGCCATTACCATCACCGTTCTCCAGAGAGTGTTACCACCAGAAGACTGTGTGACATCTAAGCAGGGCCCAAGCCTTCCCTGCTATGCAGAACGTGGAGTTTTTTCTTTTCTCTCTCTCTTGCATCCGGATGGAAGTGAATTCTTAAATTGTTTTTATGTATTTTATATATTGTAACTTATATGCACTTTGTGCTCGTGTAAGCCACCCTGAGCCCGCTTGCGGGAAGGGCGGGGTATAAATGTAATAAAAATAAATAAATAAATAAATTCAAGGTCTTTTGCACAAGCCACTACATAAAATCTCTGAAGAGTTTCTGATTCCTGTTAACAAACTCAGGTATTGCTTAGTAGAATTTCGTGAAGGCAACTGAATTACACTAATAATGAAAATCGGCATTTTTGCTTTGATGTCTCATATGTGGAAGATCTAAGCTAAAGAAGATCTGAGCAAAATCTGAATAAATAATTACTTCAGAACCTTGAAGGCTGAAAAAAATCTGAAGCGATCTTCCAAAAGTACCTGACTGAAATCAAGCTAATCTATTTTTGGAACATTTTCCCCCTCATTCTTTAGCATAAGCTAGATCATATTTATAAGTGATGAAATTAAGCAAACTCCAGAGGATGGCAGAAGACAGGAGGGCCTGGTATGATGTGGTCCATGGGATCATGAAGAGTCGGACTCGACTGTGCGACTGAACAACAACAACACATAATCTCAAGAGTTACAAACTTGGTGGAGGGCAGGAATCAATAAAAGTGAATTACATGTCTGTTTGTAAACTTTTTTTTTTGGACCGGAATAATGTCCAAAAATCAAGAATAAAATTCAACAGTCAAATTACAGTGGAAGAGGTATGAAGTGATCCATTACTTTTTCTCCCATGGCAATGCAAGGGACTAAATGCTTCATCATAAGCACCAACCTTGGGTAAGCATTCCATTGCACAAATTACTTTCTCACATCTCAAGAGAGTTCCATGAATTATTCCTTAGCCATAATTAACTTGAAAGTGCTCAGATCTCAGTAATACCATCCTCAGAGTATAACAATGCTTTTTTGCACCTGATGAAGTGATGAAGTGACTTGAATTTTGTTCTACCATCCTCTAAGAGGACACATATTGAATAATAAAATTAAAAAGAAAGTATATGGTAGATCTTAAACATCCAAAGTATATATCTTCGGGATCCCATCTACTTGGCATAATGTTTAATTTTTTAAAAAAAAATCAGTTTGTGTAATCCTGTGTACTCTTACTTGGCAGCAATTCCATTGGACAGGATTAGGTTCTTAGTATTGTTTTTTCCACTTCTGACAGATTCCTGATATGTACTCTAATAGATCTGATCACAGTATGACTATGCTTGCACTGCACTTTATGCACCTTGAGGACACTGGATAGTGTTTAAGACTGGAAACAGTTGTAATTGTGTCTGCTCCGGCCACGTTTTGACCAGAGGTACTCTTTTACAAACTCTCTTTAATCCTGAATGTCTAACATTTCTGAAATTCACTCAAAGCCAACTTTCCCCTCCTTTCTTGTTCTGAAAGATCTCTGCATGGATAGCACACAGTATGGAACTCCTGGCTTTAGCATGCTGTTAAGCGACCGCCACCCCTAAGGGCAGCCCTGCAAGAGAGGATGAGGACTCGCATAACTCTGGATCAATAAAGGAAGCAGCTCAATTAGCATTTCACATGCTTTCCTTCCCTCTCTCCTTACCTTCCCTGCAGTGGGCATGCTTTCCCCTTAAAGGATTGTCCTGTTTCTGCTCCTTGCCAGCGTTGGCAGGGTGACAGTAGTCGAGTGTGCAAACTTGTGCTATTGTCCCCAGGCCAGGGGGAGTCATGGAGACCCACTAATATGACACAGGAAAATGTTTGCTGATGGCAATTCTATGGGCTTTGTCTAACTCTTTCTCCATCATGACGACTCGATTTAAGTCTCTAACTGTTTGACTACAGATGCAAGAGTACTATCCAACTCCATCCCTTTGTCCGGGTGGTTTGAATGGGTAATTCAGCTTTTGTGTGGCTCAATTGAGGGGGCAAACATAAAGACAAGATTCTTGAGCGCTCAAGCTCCTTTTCCATGGATATCTGCACATCTCTTTAGAGATTTGTTCCTTTCCTACCTTTTTCTGACATCACCCTCCCTTTAAGGGTGGGGGGGGGGGATGCCCTGATCAAAAAAGCAGGCTAGCCTGGTCTTCCAAACTAGCTTTGTCCAGTGTTACTCAAGCATGGTTACTGCCAGCCTTCAGACAGCTTTGGAGTAGTTTAGAGAAAAGGGCCTCTAAACTTTCTTTACTCATCCTCAGCATATCATGTTTGATTGTATTTAAGAAAAAGGGAGGAGGAGGCTGGAAAGGGAAGAATGGTAGGAATCACAGGGAAATGATCGTATTTATTAGCTGTCTTTCTGTGGCTGTCCCCATGGTGACAATTTGTGATGGCAAAGAATGTGAGAACGGGGAGCCTAATGCCTGATTGGGATGCTTTGTATTTGGCAAAGTGGCTTCTGATTGGCCTGAGAAAGCCTCCTAACTAGAAGGACTTGATATTCATTCAGCTTGTTCAAGTGCTGCAAAACACTCACAGGGTCCGGCTGCTTCTCTAAAGGTTGGTAGAGTCTAACCTATGTAACAAGATTAGCTGGTGAGCTTCTTCTTCTCTACCCCAGAGTTACAGTAACACTCAATATTTGACAGACAATCTAGCTGGGAGGGGTGTCTGTGTCGGACTGCAGCGTCATGAAAATGATGTATAGATTTCTACTCAAGGGTTAAATGCTTGCTACCTGTCTAACAAGATTAACTAGTAGGGCCATAGTGGTAGCAAGTGATGCTTTTAAGATGGGGGGGGGAGCCATTTGAGGGGATGGATGTGGATATGAGAGCGTATGCATGGTGCAGCGTGCACTGTCTAGATTGTAATTTGTAGACAGCTGTAAGGAAGTGTGTGTGTAATAAGCTTAACTTTTGCCGCAGAAACATCAACATGGGATCCTGTTTGGATCTGCTAGCTGTTTATACCCAGTGCTTGTTCATTCAACTAAAGTTGTCTCATTGGGACTTTTTCTTTGTGCATAATGTTAATCTGAATATGCAAGCACAAGAGACTGTGGGTATGATGTAATTGTGCAAGTATGTGAGCACCTTCGTGAAGCTGTGAGAGCGATGGATAATTATGTGAAAGTTCTCAATAGTGTTAAGAATGTATGTGTGTATACAAAATGTGTACGATAACATCTCAACAAATGTGTGAGAAGGGTTATGTGGTTTCTTTGTTTCTCACATGACAGTTAAAGTCTTTGAGTTGCTGCTGCCCTATTTGTGTGCACATGTGGATGACAGAAATTAGGATACAATGCAGAAGAGATCAATTTTTACAATGAATTTACATTTTAAGTAATAGGTATTATGTCCAGACATGGCAATGCAACATGCATTCGTAGAGATGCTTCACTTACAACATTATTAGCAGCTATGTGTTACAGTAACATGCAAAGCAAGTCAGTGCAACTCTGCATTGCTTAACTTTTTTTTTTTTAAAGAAAGCATAAGGCTCTCTAAATATTACAATTCAATCAGTTCTTAAGAGTTACTAAGAAGAGCAAACACATTTATGGAAAGGCATGTATACTGTAGTGGGCTCCATATGATTTCACTAATTGCTTTTTCACCCACGTTATACCTTTCTGAATTTTTGTCTTGAGTGTATGGAAATGTCAAGGGTGCAAGCGCTCTCTACTGAACTGGCAGAAACGTGTGGCACATTAATTCATTAGCATTTTTTCCTGCTCTCCCTCAGGGGAAGAGGACAGGATAGGATTGCGAGCTCTGGGCTGGGAAATACCTGGAGATTTGGGGGGCGGAGTCTGAGGACAACAAGGTTTGGGGAGGAAGTGACTTCAATGGGGTATACTTCCATAGAGTCCACCTTCCAAAGCGGCCATTTTCTCCAGGGGAACTGATCTCTGTAGGCTGGAGATCAGCTGTAATAGCAGGAGACCACCAGCCACCACCTGGAGGTTGCAGACCAAACAGGGATTCCCTAGCGTGTAAGTCGAGAACAGCAGAAAAACGCCAAAGGAAGACCATCAAAGATTATATCCACTTGATATGTATGATATACTGTATTATTCAGTATATGATATACTGAATAATTGTAATATATCACATACTCAGACACTTCAGTGGCTATAATCTTTGATAGTCTTCCCTTGGCGTTCTTCTATTATTGTTTTCTACCACCCGGAGGCTGGCAATCCTACGAAAGGAGGCAATATGAAGAGTGATCATTTTTCTCACCCCTCCCTGTTCTTAACTTTAAAAAAACAGCAAGACCCCCCCGCAAACCACCTGTTGTTTATGCGTGTCCCTTCCAGGCTCAGCCCAGCGAGACAGCTCTTCTTCATGGACGGCCCTCCCTCGGTCGTCGTCCCTTCTCCGCGGCGGCTCCCCTTGTGAGAGATGGCCTCGGCGGACAGCGAGGTGAAAACCCTCCTCAACTTCGTCAACTTGGCCTCGAGCGACATCAAGGCCGCCCTGGACAAGTCGGCCCCCTGCCGCCGCTCCGTCGACCATAGGAAGTACCTGCAGAAGCAGCTCAAGCGCTTCTCCCAGAAGTACGCCCGCCTGCCCCGGGGCCACCACCACCACCACCACCTGCCCCCGCCGCCGCCGCCGCCACACGCCAGGGAGCGGAGGGCGGCCGAGGAGAGAGCGCGAGGCCCGAGCGCCGACGCCGCGGAGACCCCTGTCGGCCAAAGCAGCGGCGGCGCCCTCCTCAGCCACAACGGCGAGCCCAAGGCCTGCAACAAGGCCGCGGAACCCGGCGACGAGCGGCAGCAGAGCGCCTGCGAGGCCACCTCCAGGCCCGACCAGGTGCCCATGAGGAAAAGGCAGCTGCCCGCTTCCTTTTGGGAAGAGCCCCGGCCGGCTCCGGGTCCGCTCGGCGTCAGCGCAGGGGCCTTCCCAACGGCCGCCCCTCCTCCTGCCTCCTCCTCCTCCAAGGACCTGCCCCTTTACGAGGGAAAGAAAAGTAAAAAAGCGCCCGACGGTGGCCAGGCCGCTGCCCCCGACAGCCCCTCGAGCGGGCCCGACGCGGAGGCCACCGTCAAAGTGCTGAGCGCCTGGAGCTGCTGCCCTTTTCAGTGCCACGGACCACAAGCCTCCCCCGGCCTCTACCCGTCGGCCCTCAGCGCCGCCCTCCCACCCGCAGCCCCTTTCCCGGCCTTGGGGCTATGGAGGAAAAGCGCGGCCTCGTCGACAGAAGGGGAAGGCTTCTGCAAGCCGAGCGGCGGCGGGGCGGGCCAGAAGGTGCACCGGCCTGTGGTGTGGAAACCCATCCCCACCAAGCCAGCCGCGCCGCCGCCCATCTTCAGTGTCTTCGGGTACATTTAAGCCGGGGCCAGGAATCGCGTGGTCCAGTGACCCACCGGGATCCTCTTCTTTGCTGCTGGAATCGTTCTTCGAGGCGCACAGAAAAGGGAAGGGAAGAGAGAGCCAGGGGATCCTCCAGGCCCCTCTAAGGAGCATTCAGACTCTGCCCCTGGAATAAAGATATCTGCCCGACAGGTTGGCAGCAGGAGCGGACCAAGGAAGCGAAAACAAATAATGCTTCCTTTGCCTTAATGCTTCCTTTGGCTTGTCCACTGTTAGAAAGGACCTGCAAGATACATTTTTTGGGTCAACAAGAACTTAGTTCGTCCTGGCATGTAAATATTAAGAGGGTTAAAACAAAACAATGAAAGAAAGAAGAAAAAATTGGAGTCTCCACAGTTCAGATTACCTTCAGGCAGGAAACTGACTTCTGGACAGTGAAAAGAAGAGAAAAACTCTTTGCGTACAAAATTAAACACAAGTTCAGCACCACCTTAAAGTCTAACAATTTTGTCTAACAGTTTTGTTAGTCTTTAAGATGCCTCTAGGCTCCTGTTTAATAAAATAAAAATCTCCTAACAGGGATGGAAGTTTGTCTACAGATTCTGCACTTGCAGTTTTTAACCTGAGGGTAGCTGGTCAGAGGAATCAGGCAGATGGGGGCCCCCTTGGTGCTCTTTAATTCCCCCCCCCCTCTTTTAGAAGTAAGTAGCTTTCACTTCCCACTTGTTTGGCATATGCCTATAATGGCACAGGAGATAAATGGGATTTATTTAAGTGACATATTTGCTGTTGGGGTGGACAGCTAATGGTTCCTATTGCAGGAAGGGTCAGAGGCACAGGGCATGTTTTGCTTGCTTAAGGTCTTAAATTCAATCCCTAGCCCTTCTCAGGTAGCAGGGCTGGCAAACAACTCTCTGCTCATGACCCTAGAGAGCTACTGCCCATTAGACGATATAGGGCAAAAGAGGCCAGAAGCTCTGATAGTATAAAACAGCATCAAATGTTCATGCATAGGCCAGGCAAATGGGGGTGGCTGGGAGAGTGGCCGTGATTTACACAGTGTTCCATAGCAAGAGATCTTTGTTATCATGAAAGGTGTCACATGCAAAACTGTTCACTCATTTTGCTCAGCATTCAGATGCAGTGTTCTGAATCTCTCTTGAAAACAGGACAAATATGTACTTGTACAAAAGCAATAGTGAAGTAAACCACAAGCAAAAGAGACCTCTTCCTACATACGTGATGACCTTAGTTTGGCCTGCATGCTTGGTGATATGAACAAGATCTTATCAACAGTAGACTGGCTTGAGAAGATTGGTGGAGTTAGGTATGAGGGACCTGCAAAGAACCTGCAGGTATTTTACAAGAATTAAAGGCCTCTCGTAGACATAGGGCTCAGGGATCTTTTTCCTTACTGATCACTCTGCACATTCTACCTCTGGATTCTTTTATTCTGCTAATATGGAAAGGTGTTAACAGAAGAAGCTTGAGGGCTACTTGGGGGCAGCCCCCCTCCATTTTTCAGGACATGTGTTCCTCGGCAGCATTTCACTGGTAATGGTATAAAAAGTAACCACAACAAATATTCATAAAACACACTGCTGTTTTACACTTTCATATTTAATCTAGCCAAGAAAATATCTTTTGAACCTCATGTGACCAGTCTCTTCCCCCCTCCATCCTGAAATGGTGATCTTGGGTAAACACTTCTGGTTCAGGGGCACAGGGTGCTTTTCCGTAAAGTTAGCTTGCGTCTGTCTGGGAGGGGGATTCAGGGGTTTGGCTTTTGTTTATTTTAAATAATATATTGTGATCCCCAATCATGGATTATGGAAAAAATAAATATTAAAAATCAGTCTGTATAACACCCCTCTCCTACACAGACTTTTACAAATACAGTGAATAGAGAACTTTGTTTTAGCTACTTGCATTTATAGAATTGGACAGCTGATCTGTGAATGCAGCCAGCCATTCTTCATCCAGAGTGTTTGTTCATTGTGGCATGTGTCCTTGACCTCACAGATGTTAAACATTCCCTCCAACTGTAGTAGGTACAGAAGTGCCTTTTCCTTTTTATACTTCTGCCTGAACCCTTTGTGATGCTGCAGATGTGGACAAAACATGAGTAAAACATTAACCTGGAACAGGCTTATGAATAGCTGCTCCTGGTTACCTGTGGCAAGGATGGGTAAACTCTAAGCGACTACACGGGGAAGCTTTTGCAAATGGGAAGATGTCTGCCTCTCTTTCAGTCTGTCAGTGTGTCACAAATGACAAACAGGAATATTTGTGGGCAAACGCATTTACTCGCAAAGTTGTATCAGAGTGAATGGAGAACTACATTTGGTGTCATTTTATGCTGACTTTCCAGTGTTTTACATGACTAGGATTGATTGGGCATGGGGTTGATATGTAGGTAGGGGCCATGTGAGAAGTTCCAAAGACCACAGGCAGGCTTATGTATCATTCTGCAACCATTGTGGTTCAGGTTCCCATAACCAACTGCACTAAATTTAGTCTAAGCTCTCTAGTAATATGTTAATCCACCCATCATATATGAACATAAGCTCTCCAGTGCATACATAGACCTGCTCTGGCCTTGAGAGCATCCCCTGCTTACTTGGAGAAAAGGAGAAGCTTTATATGCACATTTCTTTGTGTATGTGGGGTTGCCCTCTCTGTTGACAAGGTTCTAGCTTGAATCAAGTGATGCAAAACTAGAAACATAAACTAAGCATAGCTTCACATGTGCAAGATCTTGTGCAACGCCTAGTGCACTCATCCTTATATATTATAGTGCCCAGAAATTGGTTGCACAACATCTTGTGCAAGTGGAAATGCTATTGAGGATATAATATTAGATTTAGCACAAGAGGATACCTTGGTCCTTTTGTTGCATTTCTGTTCATGCAAGAGCTGTAATGCAGGCAAAAAAATTGTGTTGGATCCAACCCTCTTTTCATACATAAGGTGCATGTAGAACTCCAGATCAGCACACAGTGTTACATGTTCAAGTTATGAGGAAAAACTACCTTCAGAAATGAAATTTTCTACAATGGCTATTTAGGCTGGTAAACTTTCCCATCTGTACCAGGCAACTTCATAAAATCGCTTCAAGTATTATAAATCATCTTACAAAATAGGCACGTAGTATCTGAAAAGTAATTTTTAGTCACATTTAATGCAAACAGTGAAACCTTAAAAACAATGCTTTCATAAATACTGCACAAGTCCATGCCCCCCCCCCATTTTAAAAAAGTCATTGTAACAAAACCAAAAAATTAAAAGTGCATTATAACATAAAATGAATTGCACACATGCCTGTGGAAATTATACATTATCAATTACTACAATCCCCAGAATATCTGATATTACAATAAATTTTCCTATCATCACAATACATGCAAATGTTCTATGCACTGAAACAGCAAGATGCATATAAAGTCCTGCATTTTTTTTCAAGTTTACAATCACAGTTTTATATTAAAAGGTAGCGTTTTTACAGATTTGTTATGACTGGTGAAATGCTTTGTACAAATTCAGTTGCCCCTGGATCCAAGAAATCACTGGAGCAGTGGAAGGTTGCATAACTCCTCATGTGCATATGGTTCCCCAGAACAGGCTGCTGTAGGGGACTTTTAGTAAACTGCTGCATGCAGTTTGACGCACGTTAATACATTGTTCATGCAGTCGCCTCTTTCAAATGACCTCTGCATGAAAATGTTCTTCTATATGTGGATTGCAATTGCTGGATTAAGGTGCATGAAGTAAAGAGGTAGGAAGTTCTGCGTGAAAATAAATATAAACCAAGTATTGTGGGGGCGGGGAGGAAACTGAACCAAGTGACAGCACAGTTACCAGTGGAGCTTTTCAGGGAATGATCTCCCCATTCCAGTTTATGCACGCAGCTGCATTTGAACCTCCTGAGGTTTGCACTGATTTTTTCAGCATCGCAGAACTGATTCACTGGGATTTTTCCCGGTTTATGGACAAATCTACAGGTTACCAGTGCATGCATGATGGGAGAAGAACTAGGAAGGCCTTTCTCAGCTTGTTTTTATCCAGTACCCTGAATAATCAAGTCTTCCCTAATGGGTGCAAGCTGACTTGCTTCGGCAGTGCCTGTATCATATAAAGATTGGACTCTTAAATTCAAGAATCAGCACCTCACTGCTACACCCTCAACCAGTTACAACATTACCATTTTTAAAAAATGAAATAAAACTGCAACCTTGTTAATAATACTGTAGAAAGGGTGTTTTTTTTAACTCAGTAGTAATTATTGATTTTTTCAGCATCGCAGAACTGATTCACTGGGATTTTCCCCGGTTTATGGACAAATCTACAGGTTACCAGTGCATGCATGATGGGAGAAGAACTAGGAAGGCCTTTCTCAGCTTGTTTTTCTCCAATACCCTGAATAATCAAGTCTTCCCTAATGGGTGCAAGCTGACTTGCTTCCACAGTGCCTGTATCATATGAACATTGGACTCTTAAGTTCAAGAATCAGCACCTCACTGCTCCACCCTCAACCAGTTAAAACATTACCATTTTTATGGCTCTTCGGCTTTGAAACGGAGATGAGCACCGCAACCCTAGAGTCAGATTCGACTGGCTTTCGAGCAAGGGAAACCTTTACCTTTACCTAATTATTATACCTCATTTCTATCTTATAAAAGCTTCAGGTGGTTCTGCCCAGTAAGTGTCCTGCAGTCTATTTTGAACACCCCCATGATGCACTATGGAGACACAAATACTAATTTAAATCCGCTTGGTTTAATATTGTTAGACTGCCTTTAAATGCAGGGGTCCCCACCCCTCTTGAGCCCGTGGGAACCCTTGGAATTTGATGCAGTATGGTGGGTGCAGCCACAAAATGGGTACCACAAACCAGCTGCCACAGGAGGCAAAGCCATCCACAAAATGGCGGCCACAACTTACTTTCAGTCACACGGTGATGGTTTTTGTGCTGTAGTGGAAACTGCTGCCAAAACAACATTTTTTTAAAAATCTGCAGT